GTAGAGTGCTGCTTTTGAAAGCCAGACTGAAAAGGGTCAAGAATCTGTAATTGACATAATAGAGACCTGAACTGATTTTCAACAATTTTTTCAAGTAATTTACTGACAAATGGCAATTTTGAAATAGGTCGGTAATTACTAGCAGAGCTAGGATCGAGATTCTGTTTTTTTAACAGAGGAGTTACCTCTGTTAAGAAGTTACCTCTGCCCAAGAAGTTATAAGTCATATTATCTGGGCCAAGAGCAACCAGATCCTCAACTTTATATATCTTTATAACTTTATATATCACTCTTGTCGTGCATTTTCATACCTGAGAATTCCGTTAGCACATTTTTCCCAGCATTTGAATGAGCCCACCACCAGGCATGTCCTCCAATCAGCAGGCCTCCTCCCTCTGCCACAAAGTTTTGGATTTCCTCCAAATGCTCAGTGATATATGCTGTACACACAAACACACTGAGGTCTTTCCTGAAGTTTGTCTTCTCACACTTCAGCCCTGAATCACTGAGAACTTTGAGTGCAGGATCCATCATTACACCAACAACCCCTCTGCGGCCTTCATCCAACCAGTGAATGGCATTTTTCCAAATTGGAGCCATACTCTAAAACAAAGGAAGAAAAGCAGCAACAATACAGTCATGTGTTTAATAATCTTTGCAAGTTTACAATTCCACTATTCATTTACTCTCACATTCACACTGGTGGAGGCAAGCTACAGTTGTAGCAGACAGAAGCGAGGCTGCCATATTGCACCATCGGCCCCTCTGGCCATCACCAGTGGGCAGTAGGTGAAGTGTCTTGCCCAAGGACACAACGACCGAGATTGTCCGAGCCGGGGCTTGAACTGGCAGCCTTCCGGTTACAAGACAGACTGCCAACTCTTTGAGCCACGATCGCTCCAGATTATCTGATATATAAAAGGTTTGGGAGATTAGCAGAAATATTTAACTCTTTGAGAACTACTTCCTGTTAACTCCTAACCCTATCAGGATATGTGAATTTTAGGGCATTTGAAATGTTTTACTTAGAGGTAACTATATTTACATTTTTTAAATGTAAATGTATTTTTACTTCCAAACACTAGGGTAATCCGTAGGGAACTGCTAATGTAGACAAATGTAATGTACACCGAAATAAATGTTGAAAGGAAGCATATTTACTGTCTAAGCTGAAACATGCTATCTATAAAATAGTGCATTCGTGTACAATAGGAGCAAATTCCTGTTATATGTTCATGAAAAAAGCTTTAATTTAAATACTAGTTCAAGGTGTCAACTTTACCTCAAGTCCCAGAAATCCTTCATGTGAAATCAAAATGACTCGTCCCTGTCCATAATAGGCTCCTGCGAGGAATGCCCGTCCATCATGTGTAGTACCGATGGGAAAAGCTAGCGGTCCATGGACTAGAACCTCAGAAGCAGTTGACCCCTGCGGGAGCTCGAACTCTGAAATTCCCTGGAGTAAGAACTCTAAGTCATCCTCAAAATCCTTACCTATGCTGCATTTGAAAGAGGGAAGAATAAAAGGGGAAAGACATTTTAAGAAGGAAAGACAGTCTATGGAATGTATTTTGTTTGCATTTTAATTTTTTACACTCTAGAAATGGGAAAATGGATATAGAATAAAATATATTTAACAACTAACAGAAAAAAAATCTGTTTGCTTCAGTGACAGATAAGCTGTTCACTTTTGATAAAATTGTAATCTTTGTTTATGTGCAGTAAAGCAGAACCAATAGAATCACTCACACCACAGACATCCAGGAGGACGGGATCTGAGGGTAGACAGGCAAGTTCTCCGCCTCACCACAGTTCTTAGAAAAGTAGATTCCTGCCACTCCTGACACTTTATTCCCATCAAACTGATGCAGTGCGTTCTCTTTGGGGTGATCTGCAGCCCAACTCCACGCTTGTCCAGCTATCAGCACCCCTCCTCCAGCTTTCAGAAATGCCACCAGCTCCATTGAGTCTGAGCCCACGCTGTAGGCATCGGTCACATAAACACCAACTCCCAGGTTGTCACTGAAAGCTCCCACAACTTCTACTTGGAAGCTGGATTTTTGGAGGTTATTAGCAACTGCACTGACTTTTCTGTGCACCCTTACAGAGAGGTTATGAGATCCATCACCTCTCAGCCAGGTCACAGCATTTTCTACCAGAGCAGGAAAGGCTGTCAAGTAGCCCTCATGACCCAGGACCACAATCCTTCCACTGCCGTACAGAGAGGCAGCCATCAGCACCTGACCTCGGCTGTTCATTGCTAAAGGAAAAGCATGGTCTCCGATCAGCAACAGGTCAGTGGGAACACAGGGTCCCTGTAGGTCCAGCTCCTTCAGGCCTCTCATCAGGGAGGCATAGGCCTCTTCATGTTGGTTTTGGAAGGACTGGTTGGACATGGCCTGTAGGATTTGTAATTTGAAGACAAAGAAATATGGTGCCAAAGAAGGCAGAGAGCAAGATATCAGGAGAAGTTATCTTAGCCCCTGAGGTTCAACTCTTCTTATGTAGAAGTTGTCCTGTAGTTGTCCTTGTTCTGTCAAATGAGAGCAGGAATAGGAGGAGTGCCTACTTCAGGTGCCCTAATAATAAGGGGAGGGTTTACTGTGATGACAAACCCATGGACAAACAAATGGCCAGAGCTAAATTAAACATCAGATTCATAGAAAAATATCAGCAGTGGATAAGCTTTCTCAGAATAGGAATGATGTTTCACTGTGGCTGAATGCACACCCTAAAAGAGGATTAAGCAAAACCTGCTCATCATGTCGATTGAAGTTAACTAGTGTGAATGATACGAACACAACAGAAAAAACTCACACAATATACTCACCATGTTGCAATTCTGACCACAAACATGCGTGTTTGTGACACCATGTATATCCTGGTGTCACTGAGGAAGCCCTCACTTCCTCAGTGAGGGCTTGCTCCAGCTGGGAGTATTGACATGATGTTTTCAAATGCCAACGCTGAAGGCAGTGCAGCAACCACCACATTTCAGAAATGAAAGCTGCATTTGTGTATTGTAAACTGAGTCTAGGTCTGATACTAAGGTAACTTTTTGAATCTTAAATTGTACATATTTAAGATTCAGTTTGTGTCAAACTGCAACAAACACTCCACACTCTGACTGGCACAGTCGAAGTAAGAAACTATATATTCTACTATTCAACCACTAAGATTTCCTGACTCGGAGCAACATGTAAATCTAAGCATGAGGCAGATCTACTGTACACAGGTAAATTCTGTTTGCCAGGACAAAAAATAACCTGCACTGAGAAGTGAATGGTCCTAAATGTTCCATTACGCTGGACAAACAAGCCAAATTCCCTCCATCTCTTTAAGAAGGCAACACAGAAACATGCATAGATGATGTCATGGTTGTCATGGATTTGTCCCTTTCAAGGTTACTCCCTTCCACCACACCCTGTCCTTCCTTCCCTGCCTCACAGTAACCTAACACCTTAGGGAAATGAGGATCAGGGTAAGCTTGTCTGCAGTCTGAGCTGACTGTGAAGAGCTTTTTAACCTCTTAAAACAGTGTGGGGCATTTTAGCAGGCTCCTCAGCCTCAACACCTGGCTTCAGAATAAACATAGGTTTTATTGGCAATTTTAATCTGTTGTTCCCTTTTTAGGACAGATGAAAACCAGCCCAACTGGTTAGTTGGGCTGCAATATACAGCAGTTGACATGCTGTATATTGTCCATTTTGCTACACGTGACTGCCTCTGGAGCCTTCTTCCCCTTCTCAGCCATGAGTAGTTCTGTTTTATCTGCCAGCTTTGTTAGGATGCCTGGGTCGTTGACCCAGGATTTTTGAGTTTATTATATTATTTATCTTTTCTAGTCTTTGGTTTCTTTGTTAGAGTTCTTTCTTATGGTTTAGGTCTCTGTGTAATCCTTAGTTGCTGTCTCCCCTGTCTGCTGTATCCCCGTGTCCAGTCAGCGTCTGTCCTGGTCCCACGTCTCTGTTCTCTCTGTTGTAGTGCCTGCCTGTGAGTCTGTGTCTGTATGTTCAGTCTGTGTTATGTTTCCTGTTTTGAAGGTCCTTGTTATGTTAATGTGTCTGGTTTTGCTTCTCCTGTTTCGTTAGGCCTGATTTGCCCCAGCTGTGTTTCCCTCCTGTTACCCATTCCCTGATTGCTTCCTCTGTGTATTTAAGCCCTGTGTTTCAGTTTGTTGGTGTCGTGATCTACCCTTATCTTGCTGTGTGGTCTGTGTGTGTAAGGTTATTTTGTAGTCTCAGTTTTGTTACCCTTTTGAGTTCAGCATTAAAGCTGTTTTGAGTTTACATTGTGTCTCCGAGCATCTGCACTTTGGGTCCTTTCCCTGCCTGCACACAGCCGTTCCATAACAAGCTTTCTCTGCAGGCCTCACAAACTAAGTCCACTGTGTTGCTATCCTATGTCCACAACACTATCACCCCCCTGTAACCTATCTTATGCTACGTTGTACTTATTATCCAAATTACTTAGTGATCACAATTTAAGAGAAAATGATAAGTCACTGACCTCAAAATCTGATCAGGTTAACCAAACTCTGTAATTATAACACACAGAAGGAGACTGTAACATTTTCATCAAATTTCTACTCCCTTCTTAATTTTTTCATCCAACAGAAGGGTTTACAGGAACAACTTAAATTGTGTTCCATTTACTTCTAGCTTCTTCTTTTTTTAATTCATTCAAAATACTTTGTGTAAGAATCTAGTCTCCTTGTTTTCTATCATCCTCCTAAATTCCCTTCTGAATTCCTAAATAAACTCTCAAATGTGTTTTCATCTGTTGTTCTTTAATTTGACCAGTTCATTATGGTTGGTGACTTTAACTTTCATATCTTCTTTCTTAGATCTTTCCTCTGGTTGTAATATTCTTAATAGTCCCGTTCTTATTGGTGAGCACACCCTGGAGTATGTTTCTACTTGTGGCCTGTCCTTAAACAACCTTTGTACGTCTGATTTACTGTCAAAATATAACTTCACTAATTTTGTATTCCCATAGCAGACTTAGTCTGGCATTGTTAATGACAATTCAGCAGCTCTGTTCTCCTATTTTTACATTTGAACACCTGGGTTTTCAGTGATTTACATGAATGATTTAATGATCTGTGTTGATCATTTCTTGATAGTGTAGCCCCTTTAAAATCTGGATTACCTTGAGCCATCAATGTTTTCCCTTGGATCAATGATTATATGTCACCATAGAAAGAAGTGCATAAAGGCTGAATGCACGCAGTAAAATACAAATTACACGGCAAAGACACAACCAGGGTGTCACCTTTGTCCTGTCTCCATCCCTTCCATTTGAGAGAAAGCTGTGGCCCGTCAGTTACTTGGACTGATCGAGGGTCTTAATAATCTTAATAACAAAGTCCTACATGGCCAGGGTCCCGGGTATATAGCAGAGATTCCCAGACATTATACTGCTACTGCTGTTGGCTCTTCAAACCTTATTTTCAAGCTCTTATGTTATAATCAGAGGCCATCAAATTTTGATGTTGTAGCTGAAACAGCCTTCGTCAGCCTATAGGGTTGGCTGAATCTGTGGTTTGTTTAGAACGACTGGTGAAAACTTTGCAACAACAGCAAGTGAGTGTATACAAATAAGAACAGGAGGGGCTACTTGAGTGAAAAAGACAAAGACAATTAGAGGAGTGACTTTAGTCAGGGCAACCGACTGACTCAGGCTGATGGAATTAAGTGAAAGACGAGGTGTCAGTGAACAGAGAAGGCTTCAAAACCTGTTAGTCAACATCCTGCATCTGTTTTTAAAACTCAGACAAGCGACACACCCAGGCTTTATTACGCACTCATTCATCTAGTTTTAAGGGCTGGCTCTGCAATAGCATCCTATATGTCACTGTGTGTGTTTATGTGTGGAAGAAAACCATGGCAGTTTTGGATGCAAGTAAAGAAATGCACGTAAGTAATAAATATGCAAACATGCAAGAACATTTTCATCTTCAGAAACAATCTCTGTTTAGTAATGTAATGTCTTCCAGTTTTCAAAAGTCACAAACATCAAGTTGCATTTTCTGCAGGGAACAAAATTATTTGGCTTTGTACAAAATAAAGGGAAAGATTCGATACCTACAACCTCAGTCCACCATTTCTGTTTCTCTATTCAGATACTCTAATAAATGTTGTTAAAACAGAACACCAGACACCAAATCAGTTCACCGTGTTGCTCATCATTCACTTCAAATTAAGATATTGGTTGAAGCCATTTCTCTGCACACTGCAGTGGTTTGAGGTTTATTGATACTGGGTCATGGGGTGATCGTTCCAGGAAGGCAGCTGGGAGAGCTTCCCTTCAGTGGCTGTTTCTATTGGCCAGCCCCAGGCCTTAAAGAAGCCAGTCAGGTCCATCCCCACAGTCTGGGAGAAGGTCTCAGCATACAGGTTCATTTTTCTTTTGTTGTCCTTGGGGATGTCTTTCATGTGATGATACGCAGTAAACACCTTCTTAAAGGCATCCCAGCCAAACCTTTCCTGGAGCTGCAGATGAGGAGACAAAAATCACAATGCTGATAATCATGTTATGTCTAATAAAGTGTTCATGTCAGGCTTATTTCTGTTTGTTAAGATACTGTTTTAATTCTGTCTCCACACTTTCTTGATAGTGACTTGATTTAAAAGGTATCATCTTACAGTTTCTGGAACTTTCCTTGTTTCACACTCTGCTTTCAGTTTTACATGCAATCATTTTTTTCCAGTGAAAGCAGGTGTGTGGACAAAGGACAGTTTCTCTACAGAGTAGAATTCTCTCACCTGCATATATGTTTCCAGAGCCACCCACATGCTCCAGCTCTCTGGTTTCCTGCCTCCTGCGACGTAATCCTTGGCTCGACTTTGTCGATTTTCTGCAGTCATAGCTCCATGAGCCTGCATTAAAAACATGGAATGAGATGATTGTAAAATATTTTACTCTTAGTAAAAACTGAGTTCAATCATCAGTTATCATGGGATATCAAAATAGACACATGTGATTTACTCTACCTGTCCTCTGTGGAGACCCAGCACCTCTTCATGCACATACACTGACCACAGGTTGCATGTACACTCTGTGGTGTTTGGTGGGAACTCCCAGCAGCCTTTCTGTTGGTTGTGTCCCAGCTCGTGGATGGGGCCCCACATGCCTTTACCTTTTTTAACACCGACCAGCTCAGCAGCTGAGACTTTGTGTGCCATGATAGGATAACCTGCATGCATCCAGCCTGAACAGAAAAAGAGAAATGAACAGTGGTATAGTGATGATTCTTTATTTTTTATAGATTTTAGATTTGGATTTTATAGATTTGATAGCTTTTATTTAAAAAAAATAAACAATTAACAAACAAACAACCAAAAGCATGATATGATTATGGTTCTTCGGTAAAAGTTAGTCATGTTAAGTGTAAATATTCATCTGTCTCTGTGGTAACCCTGCAGTGGTCTTGCGACCTGTCCAAGGTCTGCTCAGCCTTTTGCCCTGTCACAGCTGAGATAGACGCCAGTGGATGGATAGACGTTTAAACAAGTTTCTCTGATTGGCAGTTCTTTATAAACACAAGACTTCAATAACAAATGGGTAGAGCTTCTGCACTCAGAAGCTAAGCTGGGGATACACGCCCTCAGGGATTTCAAACAGAGCCAAAAGTAGAAGGTAAAACTGTCTGATGAATAAGCATTTAGAGCTCTAAAGCCTGAGCTTTCAGCTTATAGGGATTAAGTGTGCACACACCTCATTTTCTGAAACTTGTTAGACAGCTGAAGCCAGCATTGTTACTGTATATATGCACTATTTTGCCAAAAGTATTTGTTCGTCCACTTTCACACCCACACAAATTTGGGAGACATCCCATTCTGAATCCATAGGGTTTAATATGATGTCAGCCCACCATGTGCAGATATAACAGCTTCAGCTCTTCTGGGAAGGTTTTCCACAACATTTAGGAGTGTGTTTATGGGAATTTTTGACCATCCAGAAGCACATTTGTGTGGTCAGATACAAAGAGTCCAGTAGCAGCATTCTGTACATCACCAAAGCACAATGCTTTGCACTAGTTCAAAGCATTAAATGCAAAGGTTTATATGCTTTGCACTGTCCCTCGTGGTGTAAAGTTTGGAATCAGGTGCTCAGGCATGGAAACCTTTTCCATGAAGCTCTCTGTGCACTGTTCTTGAGCTAATCTGAAGGCCAAATGAAGTTTGCAGGTCTGCAGAAAGTTGGCAACCTCTGCACGCTATATACTTCCCAATCCGATGACCCTGCTTTGTGATTTTACTTAGCCTGCCTCCTTGTGGCTGAGTTGCTGTTGTTCCCAGTCCCTTCCACTACTCACTATGTTTAGTAGCGAGGAAATATCATGACTGGACTTCATGCTGAGGTGGTATCCTATCACATTACCACACTGGAATTCCCTGAGCTCCTGAGAGCGACCAATTCTGCATGCTTTGGTGCTTGATTTTATACACCTGTGTCATGGAAGTGATTGGAACACCTTACCCCAATGATTTGTATTGGTGACTGAATACTTTCTGTTTGCTAGTTCAGAGAACTGGACCATGCATACCCTGCCTGTCACCCAGCATTACTTGAGACTCTATATATGACAAGCCAGTTAAAGGCAGGTGTATATACAACATGAGGCAAAATGCACTTACCAGCAGAAATCTGCACATCTGCCACAAAGCGCTCCTTGCGGGGAAATTTGTGTGGTTTGGCAGCCAGATCTGCAATGGCCCTCATGATTTCATCCCACAGAGCGGCTAGCTCGTCAGGGCGCTCCAGACCCCGAACAGCATCTGACGGTACGGTGAGAATGATGTTTTCAAACTCCAACTCTGCCCAGGGTGAAGGAGCTGTGCGCAGCAACGACCACTGAGCTGCAGTTGTTACACCTGAAAAGAACAAAGAGAGGAGTGAATTTATTAAAATGCTTCAGGCTCCAACACATAAAAACAGAATCAAGGGCTAGCTAACACCAACTTGAAATATTAACAGTTAGGGAAGCCTAATTCATTGTATCAGACGTTAAACTGTTGGATATTTACTTTACTTTACTGAACATTTCTAACACTCCTAACACTTCATATTTGATTAGAACCAGGGAGATGCTGCCCTCAGCCCCTTAAATCGCCTTATAAACTGTTTGAGAATAGTCTATTAGACCAGTACAAAAAAAGTTAACAAAGTCAAATCCACCACAGACTCACCAGACTTATAGTATGGAGCAGGTACAGCCATCTGCACTATGACTTCCAACCCCTTCACTTGTGTTTTGGGTGGGGCCACAAGGAAGATGAGCCCTCCCCAAAGGTTCCAAACCTGTATCATCTCTGATGTGACAGGAAATCGCTCATGGACAGACGGTGGTCTCTTCAGCTCCTCATGGTGGTGCAGTGAATCAGTTTGACATCCTATCTGAATCTGCAGAAGAAAAGGAAAATGCATTGTAAGCAATCTCTATATGCTAAAGTATTGAACACTGTAAAAAGGAATGTCTAAAAATTGCAAGGACTCCTCTGTGTTTAGACACCTAAATGACCTGAAACAACTTACAGTATCTATTTACCGCAAAAAAAAATTCAGGTTCTGGCACCTTGCCATGTGGACATGAGCTGTACTTCTGGTGAGTCTCTGTCACTACTGGAGACAGAGACTTATATGGGGTTGAACTCAAAATCAATTGACTTCATATGCTGTACCTTCCAATCCTTGTTGACAATCTGAGGTGGTATAGCCATGTAGGTCTTCATACCAGGAGAGAGGTAGAGACCTGTACTGATCCACTCTTCCCTATCTGAAACACACAATTATAAAAGATCACAATCAGGGACGTTTACATGTATAAAATATGCATTTTAAAAACTATGTTTCACAGTTTCCAGTGTTTGCAATGAGCTGCATATATTAACACATTTTTAGCAGTGAGATCTGACCTGCTGTATCAACATCAACCTTGATCCGGTGGTTATAGACAACAGGCATCATTGGGTTGTCCTTGATGAGGTAGGGCAGGAGGGCATCGGGATCTGGGCAAACCTTATATACCTGGGTACCCACAGCGAGGAGGAGGTGGTCTTTGGGACTCTTTACAGGGCAGGTGTCACTCACCTTGAAAGTGAATAGTCAATCTCATTATATATGTCCCCATATTATGACACTATCTGCAGAAACAAAGGCAACTAGTCTCCACCTCCACCACACCCCATCCATAAAAAGCAGTGGTCAATCATATTTAAAACACATTGGTGTTGTTGTTTCTTTTTTAAAACACATTTTTGAGACACATATTACTTGTTGATAACTGTAATATACCAACTAATAGCTGTGACATGCACTGTAATGTTTTGGCACACATAATGGTCACAAACCACATCAGCTAGCATAGCTTTGTTTAATTTTGTTATTTTAAAAGGTGTTTATATTATTTTTGTCTACTCACCTGTGGCAGGCCTGACCTCTTTAATAAGTCAGTGAGTGTGGCCAACACTTGTCGGTAGTGGGAGGAGTCATGGGCTTTCATCTGCAAGTAGGCATTGCAGTCGTTGCCCAGCCTTTTCAGATATCTCTCCTCATGCTGGCTAAGGTTTTCACCTGCAGTCACATGGGCAGCAAAGCGGTATAGAAGGTGGCGGAAGTGGTAGCTGTCATTAATAGCCTGGCTGGGTACGAGAGCTTTGTATGTTCCTCCTCCGATTGTTGCGCCCAACAGGCTCAATCCCATTTGATTTAAGATCTTGTTTCCTGAAAGACATTAAAACAAATCTGACTTAAAATACTCTGGTGTATTGTTGGAGATGTCACACTAATCAGATGCATTGGTCGTGCACTTTCATACCTGAGAATTCTGTAAGTGGATTTTGCCCACTATGTGTCTGTGCCCAGTACCAGGCATGTCCTCCAATCAGCAGGCCTCCTCCCTCTGCCACAAAGTTTTTGATTTCCTCCAAATGCTCAGTGATATACGCTTTACACACAAACACGCTGAGGTCTTTCCTGAATTTTGTCTTCTCACACTTCAGCCCTGACTTGCTGAGAATATTGATTGCAGCATCTATATTCATGACACCAACAACCCCTCTGCGGCCTTCATCCAACCAGTGAATGGCATTTTGCCAAAATGGAGCCATGCTCTAAAAGAATAGAAGGAAATCAGGAACAGATGCAGTCATGTGTACATAAGATGTATAAAAATTGCATCAAAACAGCAGAAACATCTCCTTTTTAACCATTATAGGTCTGCTTACCACTGACTCCTAACTCTAACCCTATCACAATACACAATTTATGTTATCTGCAATGTTTGCTCAAAGTCAGGGAGAAACACAATAAAAACAGTCATACATCCATTCCGAGTTGCACAAACTACTACTACTCACATTTTTAACCCTCTGAGGCCTGAGTCATCATCAGTGGAGAACCCAACCCTAACCTAAACTTTAACCTCCATCCCTCTATCCATCCTAGGCAATAAGAATAGCTTTGTTTTAAATTAAATTATTCACCCAAGTCTTGGCAATCAGTTAACAAAGAAACTATTCATTACAGTGACACACATAAAAACCTTCTGATGCAAATCAAACTTGTAAAATCAAAGGAAACCTGTTCATTCATAGGTCCGAATCACGTGCTGATTCTGACCTATGAGTGCTTGGAAAGGAAGACCAACTCTCACATTTACCTCAAGTCCCAGAAATCCTTCATGTGTAGCCACAATCACTCGTCCCTGTCCATAGTAGCCTCCTGCCAGGAATGCCCGTCCATCACCTGTGGTCGCGATGGGAAATGCTAGCGGTCCATGGACTAAAACCTCCGAAGCAGTTAAATTAGACGGGACCTGGAACTCTGAAACCCCCTGGAGTAAGAACTGCAAGTCGTCTTCAAAATCCTTACCCAAGCTGAAAGGTGGAAGAGTCATGATAGGAATGAGAGACAAACTTAAGAATAATTGTGCAAATTGCATTTTTTTTTATCTGTTTTTGCATGTTAAGAAAACAATTAACCAACATACAAGCAAGTTTAATTTTTACATTTTCAGAATGTAAAAAAGCACCACTGAACAACACAGGAATACATTCCTGCCTGTTGCCATCTCCCTGTACAACTCATCCACTTAACACACTGTATACTGCAGTAGCTACATCCTTTTTGCACATGCTCTTCTTTCTTATTCAGATATTTATCAATATATCTATATATATATATATGTATGTATATTTTGTATATATTGTGCTATTTTCTTACTGTAGTGTATTGTCTGTCTTTGTTACTGTTTGTACCAGAGCACTGTAACCAAAATAATTTCCCCTAGGGATCAATAAAGTATTCTGATATTAAATTAATAAATATGAAACATAAAATTGATTTTCCTACTGTTATTATAAACACAGTCCTGTAAAAATACAGTCCTTTTGTAAATTCACAGGTGCTGAGTTTGACATAAATAGATACTTTGTTTTATTGCTTAGGCAGAAAATGTCAAAACTGATAATTCCATGTAAAATTATGTAAAAGTTTACATTAAATATAATAATAATATTTTTTTAAAACTCTATATGCAACCTATAGTAGTTTGCAATTTATTTCATGTTATAGTTAACTTGTGGGTTTAAACTAACAGTAACAATAACAACAAAA